GAGAGAGAGAGAGAGAGAGAGAGAGAGAGAGAGAGAGGACAAATAAGTTGGCTGAGGAGAGGTAGGGCCCATGTCAGAAGCAGCGATATGAGAGAAAGGGAAAAAGAAGTGGGCTTAGGAGAGGTAGGGTCCATGTAAGAAGCATGCAGAGGGACATGGAAGGATTATGCCTTTTCCAAGATGTTTGTTGTGGGTCATTGTTTCTTTTATTTTTCCCGTCTTGGTAAAAATTGAGTATGTGGAGCGCAGGAAAAGGGAGTGAAAAAGGAGACTTTTGTGGCAGTGATGTCGTGTTAGTGATGGTGAATGTGGGGTGCTGATATAATGGTGTGAGCGGGTAGGTGGTTTGGGCCCTGTTCTTTGGTGAGTCAGATCAACAGACAGGGTCCCACAGTTCATCAGTAAACTCCCAAGTTCAGCTGTCTTCGTGCATCCATCTTGTCAGTGTTTGGTGAAGAAATGGGTATGCGTCTTTGCCCAAGTTTTTTTCGCTGACAACAACCAAGTCAATATGCCTTTTTTTTCTCTCTCCCTCTTCTTCTGTCTCCTCTCTTGCCTTTGCTAAGGCCGGGCCCCACTGCTCATCCCCCCCTTCGAGGAACTTCGATGAACACGGTTGGCAATGACTTGTACAAAGCAAAGAACTTGCGATCCCTGACACCCAATGTAGTTGGGAGTGTGTTGGACACAGATATACCAACACAGAAATGGGACAGAGAAATACCAACACAGAAATAATACACAGAAATACCAAATTACACTTCCTGACAGACTGTGTAGTTGGAAGGTGAGTTGTGCACAGAAAAAGAACTTACATTGACTGACAGTCAGTCTTGATCAGTGGTGAATTTCATTGATGCCCTGGGGGGAGGGTGGAGGGGGGGGGCAACAGCAGAGAAAACATCGTTATCCTGGTTGGGATCTGTAGAACGTGCGGGCCCATCTGTAGAATGTCTGAATGTGGCCAAACTTATATATATATTTTATATATAGTCGGTGAAACTCCGACGAAACAGTTTGTCACAGCCCCTCGTTTGTTGTCCTATTCTCCCTCTCTGCCTACGGTTTACCGTCGGCAGTTCTATTTGACGATATATATGTATATATATAAATATATAGATCCTCTTGTATCGCTGTGGCGAAGTTAATGT